CAAATTAAAAAAAAAAAAAAAGAGTAATTAGGAATCAAGAATTTGAATCTTGTACGCAATTTAACACAATTATGACGAATGAGAGATCAAATTATACGCTTACCGTTAGGGAATGGGGCAAAAGATTTGATGCAGCTTGCTTTAATTAGCCCAACATCGTCTGAGATCATTACGGAGCCATCGGCCGCTACACCCCAGACCATATTCACTGCCTTATCCGAACCCTGCAAGAAAATACGACACGAAAACTTAAAATGGTGGTAGTAAAAAAAAAAAAAATCTACTTGGGAATAATGCATACAAAATTGTCCTAGAAGGTATGAACTTGTTAAAAGCAAATCAACATGCCCCAAAAATGTTATGCAGTTATACTAGAAAAACTTATAGTATGGAATGTGTTACTATTTCTTTTCAAGTTACTATATAACATATTAGAACACCACAAAAGAAATTAAAAAGTCCGTTGTTTGTTAATGATGAAATAAAAATTGCACTTACAAGGGCAGCAAACACAATCCCATACTTGTGATCATAGATCACAAACCCGAAACTGCCCTCGAGCTCCTTCAGAACCTGATGGGCCAGCATTGGGCTTCTATCACGGAGAGTCCGATAGGCCTCGATCACAAAAAGGGCCTCATTCCCACCCTTGGAAAGCCCATATTGTTTGTTGAGGTTGGGCAAGTTGTTCAAACTCCCCATGAAAATGCAGTACACATCATCCACACCACAGAACAATCTGAAAATAAATTAATTAATCTGAAAATGCCCATATTGTTTGAAAGCACAAATTCTTGTATGCATTTTTATTAATTTATCTAAAAATGTCATCCACACCGTAAGACTTTCCTATTTTAACAAAAAATGTCTACCAAATCGGTCATTTACATCAACCACAATTCGTTCTCCATATCTTCCAGGAATGAACAATCATTATCTAAATCAATTAAGAGAGATAAATCACATCAAGCTTTAATCTTTTTCTTTTTTCTTGAGGTTACCTTTGGTTGGGCTTGACAGATGCGTGAGGTGGGACATAGGCCAAAATCGCCTTGTCCACAAATCCCAGAGAAAAGCCATTGTTCGAATTTGAAGCCAAAAATTCCTTGAGAGTTTCTTCTGGAGTTTTAGATCTCCCATAACCCGCTGTCGATGCTGCGCTATGAAGCTCCTTTGGCGGGTTAATCACTCCATTCTTGAACACAGCCAACATTTTCCCCTCCCTTTTTTTGGTTTTTATTTCAGNCAATCTTGAACAGAGCAGATAGCGAAACCGAACGAATGCGAACAAAAAATCGAAAACGAGCAAATGATTCGAACGGATAAAGATGTCTGATTTGGGGGAAACTAATAATTATTTATAGACTTGTGAGGGAAAAAGACCGGTGTGGCAATTTTATCCTAAACACTTTTCTTAATCTTTTTCTCCTTTAGTTTTTCCTTGGTTTTAGGTTGTTTTGATATGAATCTGTGTGTGGTTGAAAATGGAACAATTAAAGTTAATACGATAATATATACTCCCTCTGTTTCGTTTTAAATGTCGTTGTAGGGCGTCAACTTTTTTGCAAATTAATTGTCGTTGGAAATATTATATTCATTCTTACATCTTTATTCTCTTTAACAAACATTATCTCTTATCATTATCTTTAAAAACCACCCATTAATAATTCAAAAACTAAATTTAATAAGATTAAAAGATAAGATTATTACACAACCCATTAAAATCGTAATTTAGAAATTTTAAATTAAAACGACATTTAATAAAAAACGGAGGGAGTAGAAATTAGTTGTTATGTTTATCCACAAACTGAGTTGCCATCTACACTAATCTTAGTCAGCATATCCACTTTTGTCGGTTGGGTGACTCATATTTCACATATATTTCACATACATACCTATTAGTGGAGAGGAGACATGCAATAACTACATCATACTCTACATATAAATATACACAATACTTACCGGGTCTTATCAAAAATAAAAAATTGAATGGACTCCACTCACATAATGTTATATACACATCTATGTATATTTATTATATACTTGTAGTATTTTTTATTTTTTTCGTGTTATTTTTGCAAATAAACTTACGTGGTGATATAATTTGTCATCAAATGTCATGATTAATATGTAAATTCATCGTAAGGTTGTGATATTATTTGAAATATTTTGGTGATGTGGAAAAAAAAATTGAATGAGTTTTACACATCAGCATTTCTTTAGGCCATCTCCAACCCTTATCTCTACTCTAGCGCGGACTTTACTCTACTCTAGAGTAGAGTTGAACTAGGGCTGTAAACGAGCCGAGCTCGAGCTCGAGCCTCTAACGAGCCGAGCCGAGCCGAGCTCGAGCTTTAACGAGCCGAACTATAAAAATTTATATAAAAATTCAATTTTCGAGCCTTATCGAGCCGAGCCGAGCTAGCCAAACGAGCTATAAATGAGCTCGAGCTCGGCTCGTTAAGGCACGAACTCGAGCCTTAACGAGCCGAGCCGAGCCAGGCTCGTTTAATTTAACAGCACCAAGTTGAACATTCATCTCCAGTCCTTATCTCTACATTTTACTTTACATCAAATATATTAATTTTTATATTATTTTTTTATCAATAATATTTATGTATCAATAATTTTATATCCAAATAAACCCTATCCAAAATTTTATCAATAATATATATATTATGTACATACATTATAATAAAATCATACAAAAATATATAAATAAAAAATAACAAAAAAGGGAAATCTATACAAAAAATTTAAATAAAAGAAAATAAAAAAAAAATNGAGGAGAAAACTTGCACAACTCCAGCACAATTCACAGATGTAGCGCAGCGCTGGAGGTGGTCTTAGACTCATTATATTCTCGTGGTCAATTTTTTACCTTTTTTTTGTTTTATTTTATTTTATTTTATTTTTTTGTGCAACACTTTGCAAAAAAGTGAAGATAGTCATATAATTTGCCAAAGTCGAAAAATCATAATTAGGAAACACAAATTCGCGAAAGTTCGTTATAATACATTCAATTTTGCTTCTTATTTAGCATTCTTAGAGCATCTCCAACCCCAACTGTAAAACCAGCGAAAACGGTATAGTTGGGAGGAATTGATCTCCAACCGGCCCTTTATATCTGGCGGAAATGGCTCCCTTGATTTTGTGGAACAGTTGTGGCACCGTTCTACTGTTCACCCTCTTAAACTTTTTCGCTTTTTTTTTTGTTTTTTTTTTTTTTTTTTTTTTAAAAAAAAATTTCACTATATTTTGAGTTCGTTTCATGTCTTGACTTCGGGTAGCCCGTCGGCCCTCGTTAGACGGGCCGGGCATTAACGAAAGTGCTTCCGTGAAAGCACGAGAAGAGGAGAAGCCGGTAGATGCTGTTATTTCGCATTTTGAGGTCTCGAGCATTTATTTGAGAAGCTCGAGTTCGAGTGTGCATATTAGTAAAATAAATAAAAGACCGATTACGTGGGGCCAGCAAGGTCGCGTGTGACTTTGGTTTACCAAGATACGAGTCGGGGCGTGTAGATCTTTTTGGCACGATTCCATTCGATCCATTTATCGAGTATTTCGGATCTCCGAGCATTTATTTAGAGAAACCCGAAGTTCACGGATAAAATATTAATTAGTATTTAAATTCACTTAAATAAATATTTCAAACTCACAAGTTAAAATTACAAAATAAGAATAAACATGCAATAACTAGTGTTGTATTTTATTTTATGTACTTGTTATTGTATTGAATGCTTCATGTTCGTGTTGATTTTTTTTTTAAATTAATATTTGTGATGAAATCTGCATGGTTTTATGATGTAAATTTTATCCAAGCATAATGCATTAAAATGTAATTTGTAGAGATTATTTAATAAATTAATAAAATTAGAAAAAAATATGTTTGGAATATTCTTTTAGAGAAGAATCATAGAGGGAATGAGTTGGAGTTGTTGACACTATTAAAACTGTAAAACTAGTGAAATTTTACTGTAGAAACTATAAAAACAGAAAGCATGGTTGGAGATGCTCTAATGCGCACTCTCCAAAGTATTTTTGCTAAAATTGAGTAGGAATAAAACCAGTTTAAAATTCCAAACTTCAGCAATTAATACGGGATTTGGTTGCCAAAAAATAAGGTAATTTTTATTTATTTATTTTTATTTTTTTATTTNTAGCATTGATGTTTCCAATGTAATTAAGGGTTAGAATAAATCGGGTTATGTCGTGATACTGTCATAATCATGAAAATTATATGTACACGTATATGAAGCACCAAAACTGACAAATAAGTTTACAAAATGTATCTGTTTGGGATATCAAAATTCAATTTGGTAAAATAATTATTAAAATTAATAAATTATTGGAAAAAAAAACTGCAAAATTGATCCTACAATATTGACTAAGTTGTAAAATTGGTCATAAGTTGCAAATCAAGTTTTATTTTCACTAACTGTGAGACTAAAATTGCAACGAAAAAAATTAAATAACTATTTTTGCGACATTTACTATTCATTCGATTTTGTAAAACTAAATTTATAATTTTCTCAAATAACATTGATTGCAGTAAATCTCCAATAGGATTGCCCTTTATCACAGATTTTGGCAAGCATTTGCGTATCAAATGAATAATTAAAATTTATGTGAAATTGTGTAATAGTATTATTTGAATTTAATATAGATTGCTTAATATAGTTGGTCTGGAATTATAAATATGGGAATTCTTCAATGGGGTATTCATCAATATTATTTTCTTTTTTGGTTCTAATCAATGGCTCCTTACAACTTGGGCTCTCTCTTTTTCTTCGCCTTCGCCCTCTTCGCTTTATTCCATCTTCATGAATGTAAGTATTTTGTTAATTAAACATTTTACAGTTAGTGAAAGCAAATACTAAAACATTGGTGAAAATATTCGTGTATTTATATTTATACTTATATTTGATTTTTTGCATTAATCAATTTGTGTTTCAGATATTGACTTCTTGAGGATATAATTAACAAATTGTTTCTTATGGTTTCTTTTTTACGTTTTATTTTGAATATAGTTATTGAATTGAAGTCACTTAAAATCAAAAGATAAGAAAATATTGGGAAATAAAGAGAAAAAATTTGGGAATAAAGAAAGAAAGAAATAAAACTCCTATATTCGATTCAAAAATTACTTATAAACACATAAATATATTTACACATTAATGAATATAATTATGTTTATATATTTAATACACTTATATTTTAACATATTTGTATGTATATTATATGAATGAAATTTTACATTTTATATAACTATTATTAACAAATCGAATTCTTATGTGAATTCAAAATTATGAATGCAAATCGGGAATATCAAATTCAAACATGAATCGAATCGAAAATATTAGATTCCATTACAATCTTACTCGCTTCATACTTTTCTTCTCTCTTCCTCTGAATGAATCGTTCTGAATCATACGATCTATATATATATAATAAGAATTACTATTTACTACATTTAGAAAGTAATTCCCGTCAAAAAAATTAATTGTATACTTTAAATAGAAATAAAAGATGGAGCATTAAATGCAATATTCAATTTGTTAGGTCAACTGCATGAATCTCGCCAGCGTACTAACCATGTTTTCAAAAACAGTTTGTACAGAATTTTGTGATGCTTATCCTTAACATAATCTTAATAATTATTTTATAAGTCCAACCCATAAACATAAATCTAGGCAAGGATAGCTAAGAAAAAAAAAAGGATAATTTTTTAATTGAATAAGTAGTTCGGCCATAGATTTTCAGACTAGCTAAATTTGAACTTAATTGAATAAAAGTATTTCGGCCATAGAATTTTAAAATATTTTGTACGTCTTTTTTAATGAAAAATATTTTATACGTTATTTTTAATGATAATTTGGGTATCTAAATATTTATTATGCATAAATTACTAAACATTAAAAAAAAAAAAAAAAAACTAATTTCTAATACATTTTGTACTCACGTGACGTGTTTTTGTATCATAATTCTGGTATCTAAATATTTATTATGCTTGCTCGACGTGTACTTGCAAACAGTAAAAAAACTAATTTTCAAACTATGTTGCACTCACATCTTTTTGAGAAATATGCTCGGCGTGTCCTTGCACTCACATTTTTTGCTAACGGTAAAAAAACTAATTGCGTATATCCAAATACATGTATTATGGTCTTTTATACAAGATAATTTTATATTATTTACAATAAAATATGCTTGACTGTTGGCTCCTTAGCATTATTTGTAAATTA